TCACACTGTTACGCTTTGGTATATAAATCATAGTTAGCGCTGCTTGCTGCTTTTAGTTTCCCACCATCTTTAACTCAAGTTGTTCTTTAAATTGTCTCCTATCTCCTGTCTCTGTCAAAATAAAAATGTCTAAATAGTTTAACCTACAGCCACTAAACATTTCCATTTAAAAAGCTTTAAGTATTTCCCTTAGTGTCCACAAAGATCCAGCATTGCAGGATTTTTTGGGGAAGACTTCTGATCCCCCTGCAACAACAGTATCTTTGTACAGCAAGAAGCACGAATTTTGGCTTTGAGGGAAGCAAAGCCCAGCGCTGAGAAAGGAGGATGTTACACAGCTTATTTATAACTTTAGTAAAAACTGCAGGCAAATCATCTAGACCACTAATTCCTACAGTTGGGGTCATGACCCCACTTGGGGTCCTTCATTAACGAGTATGGGGTCTTGAGATCCACAGCAGAAATTTAAGAAAACAATCAATACAAGTTAAAGTGTTTAAAGATTTAAAATCATATTTAAAAATGGAAAAGGCCAACTTCTTTGGTTGTTGATGTGGTTTGTAAGATTATTATGGTTAATTGACTTTGTAAAAATGTTTGTATAGTTAACCAATGGGTTGTGTCATGAGTTGGATCCAGTACAATTTTGTGGTCCAAAGCAGAAAAAGTTTGGGAACCTCAGATCTGGACAACTGCAGAGGTGGTTTTAGAGCATAATGTTTCTCAGATTAACTAATCTTTTCTTTACCTTGGAAGTTATGTGAATTCATACAGAACAAAACATCAACCAAAACTAGGAGATGCCAGGGAGAAACATACATGAGGCCTGAAGAGGATCCGGCAGTGGGAGAAAACTATGAATGGAGTGATTAGCTAACTGGGAGCAGGTGTGGACTGAAGGAGCTAAAAGGGGAAAAGAGAGGGGCAATAAGGAGTATAAACTAAAACTGGAAAAGAACTTAAATAAAGCAAAAGGGAAATAAGACCACGACTAAAAAAAATAAAGAATGACCGAGGGGAAAGCTAGAAGATAGGGGACTGGAAATAACTGAAAAACCACAAAACAGGAATAGTAAAACTAATAAGTCATTCAAAATAGTTCAAACTCGGCCAATAATGTTCTGGTATCTTTTAAAAATACAACTAAAATAAGAATGATTTTGAAAATGTTGCCAAACCAAAACCTGAAAAACCATAAAAGCTCAGGCCTTGTTGGACCATTTTTTTTCAACAACGTTAATTCTCAATACATCTTCTCTTAGAGTTCTATTGATCTTAACTTTTTGTAATGTTTACATACATTTTGTTCAGAGCTAAACAGCTTGTTTCTGTCTGCAGTTGTTGCTTATGTCAACTTCACTTAGGCAAGATAAAGATCCAAGGTGAAAACCCTTGGAATGTAAGAATTTTCCTGGGGAAGGATGCCTTTACACCAACATTTTAAGCATTTTCTAATTTCTTGCATTTTATTTAAATGCAAACTCATTTAAAAAGTTTTGAATTGGAACTGGACTTTTCAGAAACCAACTGGTCGGTAGATTTGTTGGATCTATCATTTCGTTTAACCTGTAGTTACATTAGATGGGGATTTCCCAGATCATTGTACATTTTACGGTCCTCAGGAAAAAAAATGCATCAGTTCTCAGGTTGTAGGAATAGACTTATAAGCTCTTCTGTCTCAGACAGGTCTCAGTCTTGACAGCAGATATTTGAGTTTAACAAAGCTACGTCTTTGCCTCCATTTCAATTGATTCAGTGCAGGTCTAATTGGATTGGGCAGGCTTGGACAGCTATGGAGGACAATGATGGTAAAACATGGATGATTTAAAATTGATATTTTAATCTTTCTATGACCCAAAATAAAGTCTCAAGGTGTTTTTAGTCAAGACTGTATTTGTTATACTCAGTATCTGCTGAGTTGGTCAAGCTTTTACAGAATAAAAAAAAATGCTGTCATTTCAAGGACCTGACAACTCAAAGACCTGTTAGCTCCCCTCCTATAGGTTCTGATAACGTATTTCCTTGAAGATGTCCTTAAATGTATGCTTCATTAAAAAGCCACAGTTGGAGAAGACGTATGTAAGACCAGGTGAAAATAATTAACAGGAAAAGGGAAATGATTCACAATTAAGATAAAGAACACCAGGTTCCAGATAATCTGTTGCCTCATAAAAACAGGGACTTCCTTGTCCTACTGAGAAAATTCCTTTCCTAACTAATCCAAATCCTTTCCTTCACACCAACTATGACAGATCCAGGGACGTGGCTAGACCTATTTTAGGGTGGCTGAAGTCATCCCTTCGTTGGTATTAGCCACCCCATAATTATTTTGCGATTTTTATTGTTATTTTTTTATTTATTGATTTTTTTTCCATATAACCCCAAACAATTGCAGTAAAGCACTGAAAACGAGCCACCAAGAAGGCAAGTTAATCTGAAGATAAGTTCCTGTTAGTTTATTTACAAACACAATTATTTATACAATTATTAATATCGTTAGGATATTCATTTCCTTCATTGGCTCCGCGTCCAGCGTCACGTCACGTGGTACACGGCCATCAACTGGACCATAGCAGCTGTGCAGTGCAGCAACAGCGCGCCCTTTGAATCTCCACACAGTCATCGAGCTTGATTAGGAAAGTTATGGTTGCGTGCAGATACATACGGTGAGTTTGCCATTTGATGTCAGCGGTTTACATTTTCTTCACTTTACCTGGAGTGAGGAAAGAGACAATATAGGCCTAATAGCTTGTCTGATTCAGTAGGAATTACGTTACCATGGTGAACAAAGTCAGTGGTGTGGGAAAACACGATGTTGTTGTAGCCTACTAGCATCATTATAATAGTTTTGTCACAGGAGCAGTGATGGGCAGTAGCGCCGCTACATGTAGCGAAGCTATTAGTTTAACTACATTTTCAAGTAGCTTGACCGTAGCGTCGCTGCTTTATTTATCAAGTAACTTTCCTGTAGCGACGTTATTGTTTTGATCAAGTAGCGACGTAGCGTCCACAAACGCTACAAAATCCAGGGCAAAACTAAGAAATGAAACCAGGTTTTCTATTTCTAAACAACAATCAGCCACAAAACTACTGTAAATAGCAGTTTCAGCTGACGCTTTATAAGTGGCGTAGTAGCACAGGCACACTCCGTAGGGTTAAACAAGCGCACCTTTTCCGAGGCTGTCGTTCTATTGGCTGGAAAGGTTGCTAGGCAACGATCCAACTGCAGTCTGAGAGAGCAAAACAAATCCGCAAGCAGAGCGTAACTGAGACCCGTGCAGAGCGGAGATGGAGGCAAGCGAGAGGAAAAAATATCTGTGATAATATAGAAAATATCTGTTTAAATCTGAGAGAAGAAACAAAGATTTTTGAGAGAAGAGAAAATATTTGAGAGAGAGCGCATGTTTTGAGTGTGAGCATTATAAGTTTTGAGTGCAAGAAGATGAAATTCTTTTCTCTAATTGAAGTTATGTGCTCTTGCATTATGGCAGGATAATTCTCCCATATCTATGTGCCACCAGTCTGATAGGGCGACACTGTGTGATATGGTAGTGCTTCCTTGGGTTGACTATAGTTCTAAGTTGTACGTTTCATATACTGTTGATTTTGTGTTTTCATTAATACATTGTACTTAAAAATACTTCCTTTATTTGCATTAAAACTTTGTCAGACTGATGTGAAAAAGTCTCAAGGATATCCTTCTTTGCAATGATGCTATTGCCTATTGCCTACTGTCCATTTATGCAACTTGTATTTTGTGGTTAAACTTTAGATTAAGCAGAAATCTATCAAAGATAATGCTGCATTTATTGTTAAGTTCCTCACATATATGTGTTTCTCTCTGTGCCAGGTGTAGAGAAAGACATGCCAAAGTCCAGGTCACACACACACACCAAGCACACACACAGAAACAGGGTTATTGCAAAGCAGACAGGGGTTCCTGACAGGTTGTGGGTGCAGGGGAGATGGGGAAAGATGAATGGCCAGGTTAAGGGTTTATGAAGATGTTGGGAGTCTGTTGGTTAGACAACTGTCTTCTGTAGAAGGTTTCCATTATGATGAGTGGCGAACCACTTGCCTTCTTCCATTTATGCAGTAATGCATGGCACCTACCATTTACTCTTTGTAATTTAGCACATTTTAACTGGTGTAGTTTAGTTGGTGAAGTAGCATTAGTGAGGGAAGTGTTTCCCAGGTATGTTGCTCTTAAAATAATGAATTTATAGACAGCGCCTTAGAAAGTGCACTGAAAAAATTTCTTACCTAGGGGCTAAGCCACCCATGTCTCTCAAACCTAGTGACGGCCCTGGACAGATCCAAACATGGCCTTTGCTCCACTGTTGACCTGAACCTAAATGCCAATAGTTGAAGCTTTGCACAGTCACTGGTGGAATGCTGCATAGGAGGTTGAACTCAGGACAAGACAGCCCATCCAGATGAGGGACCAGATTTACAGCTGGATCGCAGATGTCTGTGAGGAGTTCAAGAGCACTAATGAGATGGAGCTCAGTAAAAAAAAAAGATCCTGTAAGGTAACCTTTTAAAGGTGGCAGACGACCTAATGCTGGGAATGTTTGCTTTCCAGCAGGACAACAGGGATTTCATTATTTAGATTAAAGCATATTAATGGGTTTCCAATAAATGCCTCTGGCACATGTGCACCTTGCGCTCCCTTCAGAGAAATACTTCATCACCCGTCTATCCCATCAAAGCACATTACTAGACTCCTAAACCCCAAAGGCGGCCAGATCTCTCACACAAATAAAAGTCCCCATTCACAAAGCCAGCTGGGTTTGACTCCTAATCTGTCTAAAACCACACGACTCCCCCCTGCCCCCCAAACATCACAGAAAAAGTATGAATGAATCTGGTAATGACAAAGATGAATGACTCCACATAACATTAAAATGCATTAAAGCAGTGAGGATAAACATAACCATGGCAGGAAATATTTTTAACATTTACAGCATTAAAGCCCATATTTTTTTATCTTTAATTACCTTTAATTTATTTGGCTGATAAAGTTTCTTCCCCGAAGAAGGATTGGATCCAAGGTTTAAAGACACGAATCAGGGCGTTATTCCAAACACTTCATGTGAAAAGTCCCCCAGTCGTCTCAGGGATTAAACATGCTGTTCCCTCTTAGCTGCTGCTCACACTCTTTCAAAGTGAATGTTTTAGTGCGCCTCCACATAACTTTCTGCCAGGGCCATCCCTCTTTCCATCCTTTCTCGTCCTACTTATTGTTTTTTTTTCTACTTACTTTCCTACTATTCTTACAGAATAAAGCTTAAACTGACCAAAACTATTGTTAAACAATCCTGATTTTGAAAAAAAAAGTATCACACATTCATAGAAAAAGATTTGCTTATATTTTATGTGTTGTTTTTTTGTTTGTTTTTGTTTTGTTTTTATCCCCAAAAGTGAAATATGTGCCTAAATGTGACAGAAATACCATGAAATTACCAACATTTTATCCCACCACAAACTGCAGGGAAGAAAACACAGGATGGGTAAATTTGAGAGTCACCGCAGTGACTGGAGGTTGGGTTCACTGGTGAATTTAGGGCTGGAATTTTTAGCCTGGATGTGGGTGTTGGACACGTCGTCAAGGCTCGGGGGTAATTGGTTCAGCCTGTCTGGGTTGAGTTCAGACTTGTTGCGTCATGCTCCTTATTTTGCCACTGATAAAAAAAGAAAAACAGACAAAACAATAAAGCTACAAGTCTCTGGGTTGCAGTGGAAAAAAATCTGTTAAATTAATTCTTCTGTAACTCAGCCTCTAAAAATTCAGATTCATGAAAAGGTTTGGCACATATGATGGTATAAAACACTGAACTAGTTTTCTCATTGAGGTTATTTGAGATGTTACAAGCATTTAGACAGTAGGTTCTCTTTAATGTGAAACAGTCAACACCTAGTGGCAAACCATTTGACCTGCAACTTTTACTTAGACCGTGGCTACTGTTCAATAAATTATACTTCTTTTTAGTTAAGAGTAATTTTCATTTGAATGTGCTTTACCGGAGACATCCATGTTTGTAAGAGAACACTACTGCCACCTGGTTTGTGACGTCACGGTGCAGTGTCGGCTGTTGAAGGGAAGTTAAGTCCCAGTGCTGTATCTGGTGTTTGTCACTACGCGCTATTATCCAAGTCATCTTGAAAACATTCTTCTTTGAAATATTGGCTACATATCACATTTTTTTTCTCTGGCCAGAAGTTCAATAGTAAATCCTCCCTCTTCAAGTTGGCAATCAAACAATTAACCCGTCTGTGGAGGATCATGACTTTTAAGACTACCGGTAGGCTTAAAACTTTGCTTTTTGATAAAGCTTGTAGTTAGAGTGGCTCAGGTTATTCTGAGCTATCTCTATAGTTATGCTGCTATAGGCTTAGACTTCTGGAGGACATAGGGACCCCTATTTCATCATTCTGCTTCATTCTATCTCTATTCTCCCACTCTGCAGAATCTGCTAGTTCAATCTCTAATGTTATGCTCTCTCTGCTTTTTCTCATAGTAGCTTTGCCTCATCTGTTCCTGTTTGGCTGTGACACCATCCTGCTATCAACACCTTTGTTTATAAATGTTGGAGATCGGCCTGTTTTCTAGTGTAGTCCTGTTTCTCTGACCGTGACTAGCTGGATGTGTTCTCTTCATCCTCTGACACGGGAGCTGGCTCGGAGCTTGTCTGCCTGGCTGTGTGTTTCCTGGACGGGGCCGCCTTTTACAGCTGCTTTTTGTATCTCTGCTTCTGTCTTCTTGAACCCCAGTCGGCCTCGGCAGATGGCCGCTCACACTGAGCCTGGTTCTGCTGGAGGTTTCTTCCTGTTAAAAGGGAGTTTTTCCTCTCCACTGTCGCTACAAGCATGCTTAGGCCCCGTCCACACGAAGTCAAAACGAACACGAAACGCTAATATTTTTCAGAACGTTTGTCGTAAAGACGGAGACGTAAAATAAATGTGATCATCCACACGAATGCATGAAAACGCTGCAAAATGTATGCCAGGCCTGTAAGTGGCGCTGTGGTACCAAAGCAAAAATAGGCGACGAAATGTTGGGCATGCGCACTAATATTTATACATGGTTGCCCTGCGGGTCCATTTTCGTGGTTAAGTCAAATTCAGGTGATGAACTATGTCGTCGATATTGCTCTGTTCTTCCTGGAGATATTCCAGAAGAAGAAGATTCTGTTGTAAGCCCGACAGCAGGGTGAGTAGCATGAGCAGCAACCATTCAACACAGTACGGCGCCATTGTTGTTGTGATACTGTGTCGCGCATGCGTGTTTAGAGGCGACGCTATGACGCATGCGTGTAAAAAAAAAAAATGCGGTTAGAGCTTAAAGATGGAAATGCGAAAACGGCGTTTCAGAATCTTCCCACTCTGAAGGCTGAATTAAAAAAAGATCGTTTACAGACCCCCGAAACGCCGGCTTCGTGTGGATGAGAGGCTGGTTTGGTTAAAAATTTGTGCGTTTAGGCCAGGTTTCGGCTTCGTGTGGACGGGGCCTAAGTGTGAGGGATTGCATTTGAGTCAATGAGTCGATGCAATCAACTGGTTTTCCTTAGATAGAAAACTCTGAATCAATTTGACTGTATGATCTGGTTGAACTGTAAAGTGCCTTGAGATGACATGTGTTGTGAATTTGCTCTATATAAATAAACTGAATTGAATTGAAAAGGTGAAATAACAAAAAATTCTTTCACTTTTACCAGATGTATTACAGCATCCGACTGCCATGCACGTGGGTATTGTCAGTTTAACTATAACTCTCTGAATTTCAATGGTGAAGTCCTCTTGTAATCTTAAACAATTGTTGTTGATTGCAGATGTGTCTAGTAGTTCCCATTGATTTTGCTTGTAAAGTGGGGAGAATGGCGCTAGGCTTACCGCACTGTGACGTCACTGCTGGAAGATTTGTCTTCTGCTACTTATTCTTTTTCTTTTCTATTATGACGGATCGCACTCAACTTTAAGGTGCATACCGCCACCGACTGTACATAAGTGTGTAACAACATTACTTTACATCAAAGTCAATTTTTTTAATTTTGCATTCTGTAAATAAATAAATAATGCTTTCCTTCATCTGTGAATATCCTTTATATTTCCTTTAAGACTCCGTTCTTGGCCTGTCCTTCCAACCATCCTTCTCATTTTCTCCCTTTCATGTTCGTACAGTTCATCAGTACATGTTTTACATTTTCTTTTTCTCCATATCCTTCATATTTTTCCTTCTTTTTCCTCCCTATTAAATATAAATTGTCATTTAAATAGGTATGACCCACTTTTAATCTGATCATTAGTGCTTCTTCCCTTCTGTTTCTCTCATTAATGAATCTGTTTAATACTGATTTTTGTACCTTATATAATTTCTCTTCCTTTCTTATCTTCGTTCCACCTCTTTTTCCATTTTTCCATTTCTTAATAAGTGATTTTCCTTCCCTTCCCAAAAGGAATTGTAATTGTTATTATTCCCTCTAAAGCCATTTTTCCTAATATATCTGCTTTTTCCTTGCCTTTTACACCTTCATGTGCTGGGACCCAACATAACCAAATATCAATGCCACCCTATATAATCTAAATAGACTGTGCTGGGCTTCTGATACTAAATCTTTTCTATCATTTCCTTCTCCCTTAATACTTTCTGAAACTGCTTGGGAATCTGTACAGACCACCACCCTGTCTGGTCTAACCTCCTCTATACATTGTAAGCTTAGTATAATTGCTACCATTTCTGCTGACTGGAAAATGTCAGGAGTGAGGTGTTACTATATTTAGGCAAAAATGGCCACACCCGAACTCAATGATCGCATCAAAATTTTATGTTTTTATTTTTTTACTGATTAAAATTCAATAAATCACTGCGAATGAATTAGTTTTAGGTATAGATTATGATCCGTTGATTATTCCTTGCTGGTTGGACTTTTCCTTTAAGAGAGTCATACTTATCTGAGCCTACCCAAATGGTTTAGAATTCCTCTTCTTATTTTGGCATTTATCAATTTTAAATTAATTTGGGAGGTTAATTCAAATTTTATTTTAGAAAGTATGATTCTCATTTTATATATACATAGCAGGTAAATATGAGTGGAAACAGTAATTGTGCCATGTTTTTTGTTGTTGGTTTTTAAGCCTGGGTGCATTAATATGAATCAATCAATGAAAAATTGCTACAACCCACCAATACTTTTTCTCTCCTCTCTTAATTACCTTTCTTACCTTAAGAAATGTGACCTGTTGTAACTAAGAAGAGCAAAAATGTTTGTTTTTGTCAAGTGCAAGAGCAATACAGCATTACACCTTTGGATTGCATTGGGGAACTCTGTTACATGACCTCATCTTTTAGGATTTCTCAGCAAAAACCTTCCAGATTCAATTAGAAACTTTGATGCATATGATTATTTAAACCACTAAAGGTTAAAGGTATTTTACTTTTTTTTTTTCTCTCATCAAGCCTGTTTGAGAGGTCTGTTGGGAAAAGGTGGACAGCAGACTTTCTTCATGTGAAACAGTCGGCCCCTAGTGGTAAACCACAGGAACTGCACTTTAACTTCTAGGGTGACTTAAAAGAGCAGACTGCTGTCTCCCCAAAAAAGCCATGAGATCACTACCTGAGCCTCCACAAATGGATTGAATACCCTCTTCTTATTTTGAAATGTATCTGTTTGAAATTATCCAGGAGCTTGAGTCTTATTTCATTTTACAAAGTAAGATTTGTATTGCAACATAAAGACAGAGGTGTCAAGTAAATAAATACAAATACTTGTTTACCTTACTCAAGTAGAAATGTTGGCTATCCATAATTAACTGGAGTAATCATTTTTCAGTCGACTTTGTGATTTTACTCCTTAAATTTTCATGCAATTATCTGTAATCTACACCTTACTTTTTTAAAAAGTAACCTCATTAATCATTTAATTAGGCTATTATTTGTCATTTTGGGTGGGGAAAACAAACAAAAAAAAACATACAAACTGCACTATCCAGATGAAAAATTATGAGATGATGAGAAGAGTAAGCTTTTACCATTCTGACACCCTATTGGTTAATATGCTTTTCGTCTGACCAGAACTTTAGACAGATCACATTTATGCCCCACTTCAGCATGGATGTAGCAGAGGAAAAAGATCCTAAACAAGTCAAGCAGAATGCCCCAGC